ATGGCCTTGAGTTCTGCCCACTTGTGGCTGTGCAGGGCTGGTGCTGAGGTTGAACAGTGGCAGTGCTCTGGCACACTGGGTTTCAGCTGAGCTGAACCTCAAGTGAAGTAGGCTCAGACTTCAGGGGAATCTCTAAATTGAGGCCCTATTGCCAGCAGCTTTGCTTCAGGTGGGTGAAGTGGGAGATAAGATTTCTCTCAAAAGAAGAGCTTTTACCCCTTTGTGCATAAACAAGATACCAGGGCCAGGCTACTGCAGCCATGAATTCACTGTTTTCATTTGACTAGCTAGGCACGTATTTTTCTCCAGAGTCCAGTACTGTGCTAGGCGTCCTTTTGAGTGGCGGAGGCAGAGGGTGGGTGAAGAAACAGCAGTTTTTCTTTGACTAGTTGAGAGATTCTGTGCTCTGTAAGGTTCCAACCCAGCAACTTCATTTTGAACATGTTTAGAGTTTCATTGCCCCCTGCTGGCAGGGACGTGGTAACGCGGGACTCAGGGCTTATTTAACTTGACCCTGATTGGGAGAATCTCCCCTGGCACAAAACACATCCATCCATTCCACACCTGGTGGCTGGAACCCCTAAGAGGCTGTTCTTCCCTTTGGCTCCTCACATCACGGTGTCCTTGCCACTCTGGGCCACCCTTTGACCCAGTGTCCCTCCTGCGATGGAACCGGATAGGGTGGGGACTTGGGGCCAGGTGCAGTAGGGCTATAATGCTTGACTCTTCTGCCCAAAGTTCTTCCTGGTGCCAGGGGAGAGGGAGCTGGGGGCGTTTTCATTTTACATGACTGTGTTCAGGTTCAACAAATACTCCAATGTTTTCAGTCTCCTTAAGGAGAGACTCCTCACTGGTTCCACAGTTTAAGCTCACGGGATTCCTGCCTGACCATCCATATTGTAATGAGTGTCACTGCCATTGTGATAACATACTAATAACATTTTGCTCCTGCTGCTCTCTTTGCTTCAACCTCTCACCACTCAGCCTAGGACATTTAGCAACAGGATTGGTGGGGGCGAGGCTTGACTTCCCACATGGCCTGGCACTTGGGTGAAAACCTTCCCTACTGGACCTTGGCAGTTACCCATCTCATGGATGCTGGCAGAAGACAGGAGGTGATTACAGTTCGAGGATGATGATGATGATGATGATGATGATGATTTTATTTTGTTTCAAATGTTTTAGTGTGTAATAAATTTGCTAACATTATTCTCACATGTGGATTTGTTCACATCACTTAACAGAGATAGAAGGATTGGATTATTCATATTCATGCTCTCTCCCTCTCCCCTTCTCCCTCACGCACCCCTACCTTTATCCATCCTCTCTTTTCTCTTCCCTCCCTCTCTCTCTTATTCATTTTTTTGAAGGAATGAATCTTACATAATTGTAGGTAACAAACTCTTTGGGAGGGTACTTGTGGTTTTGAAATGCGGTTACTATATAGTTAACTATTATAAGAATGTTTTCACCATCATCCTTTCATTTGGCATTTGCCAGAAAGATGGACATGACTAATGGTTGGGTTCTTATTTGAAATCACTATTTTTGTATAGTTTGGGAAAATACAATAAACCTCTGGTTGAAAAAAGTGGTATAGAGGAGGATTCAAAATTTCTGAGTATCATTAATTTTCATGATGGTCTATGTCTTCGCTGAAGGAAACTCACTTAAGGCCAGTTTTAGACCCTGTAGGGAAAATTAGACTGCTGCCCTCTCTGCTTCCTCCACCAACTTATCAGTTTGTTTCTTTGTCATGAAGTCCAGATTTGGGGCCTTCTTAATCTCACTTCTAAAATGTGAGATCTCTTGGAGAATTGGGCAGAAAGTATATCTGGACCTGATTTCCCAGAAATCATATGGTGTGGCTTATATCTGTGATGTTGGATTCATAAGGAATCATGAATTTTAAGATCACCGTTTTTCTAAAGAAAACTGATTGTTCCACTTTTTCCTTTTATATAAAACGTAAGTTAGTTTATGACTCATGCAAACTGTCTACCTTTCTGAAATTGAAATGCTAAGAAATGCCATTAGGATTACTGAGAGGAGTGGTTCTTGTCCTTGCTTGCACATGGGAATCAACCTGTGGAATTTTGAAAACTAGACGCCTGGCTGTCATCCTAGAGACTCTCGATTCACTGGTCTGGGGTACCATTGAGACAGTCTGAGTTTTTAATATGCCTTAGATGTTTCTAATGAGTAGCCAAGGTTGAGAATCACTGAAATACAGAGTTGGAAGCTAGTGCTAATAAAAATTATAGTTCTGCTGTTAAAAGTGACTGCTTAACTGGCCCTTTAAAGCCTTTTAAGTACCGTGCAACTTCAGATGCTGAATGTAAGTGTAATATTACAGTTTATTAAATGTTACAGGAATAATATGGAGTGCATGCTGGGAAGAGCATTGTCACACTGTAGCATAATGGCAGAGCAGGGGCTTTTGTCATCAGTTGATGCTAAAACTATTAGGTGAAAGGTTATGGGATATTCATAGGGCACCAACATATCACCACACATTATCCATTACAAAGGGAAAATTACCTTTCCAGACAAGAGGTCTGTCAGTCTCTACTTAACCAAGGGATTAAACTTACTGTCACTAAAAACCTACTTACAAGCTTTTTCCTCACTAAAAAATGAGATCATAGTTCTTACCTTCCCGGTTCTTCCATGAAGACTGAGATTCAGAACTAATCATGGTCCCTAACACATAAAAACAATCATTAAATGTTAACCTTCTCTCATGGCTACTTTTCTGTATGCCATAATAGCTAAGAAGAATAAGATTTAAATCAATGTCTGCCAATAGATGTTGACTTAAACTGAGACAGGACTGAATTTAAAGATAGGAAGTAATGATTGGTTTGAAGCTTTAAAAGCCCTAAATAAAGTAATATACCTTAGGAAAAAAATTGAAACAGTCTGAAATTTGAGTAGATAACTCAATAATTTTGTAATAAAGCATAGGAAAGCAATCTATTTCATCATGTGATTCCTAATGTAAATCCTAGCACCACTATTGATAATTTTATTTTTCCTTTTTTAATCCTCTTCTGAGGACATACTTATTGCTTTTAGAGAGAGGGAGAGACACTGATATGCCATGGAAGCGTTGATCGGTTGCCTTTTGTTATGCACCCAGCCACGCACTGAACCTGCAACCTAGGCATGTGCCCAGACAAGGAATCGAACCCACAACCTTTTGGTTTACTGGATGACACACCAACTGAGCCACACTGGCCAGCACATCAACTTATAATTGTAAATGTAATTTAGATTTGTATATGATAGTTTTAAAATACTTTATTAAATTGTTTCACTAACACAAGAGTTCATTTAAATGGTTTCACGAGCTTGTAGCACATTTAACCCTGTGTATGGACCAATCATCTCTAAGGCACCATTTCTCCAAGTCTCTGTGGAGAATATTCACCCTGAGAGATGCTGTTGGCAAAATGGGTTTGCTGGGTATACTCTGGAAAGTACTGCATACAATAATCCTTCCCAAAGAATCGTAACTAACATTAGCATATGAAAAGCTCTGAAATCTTACAGGAAAGAAACCTGTTTTCTTCTGTCTAACCTAGAATTCTCCAGACTAATCTAAACAGACTTTTTCCCTCTGTCAAAGTAATTCCTAGAAACACTTTGGGGAATGCTGTTTTAAAGAACGGTTGGTCTCAAATAATAATGGTATTTGAACATCAGCGATTATCTGAGTCCATTCATGGCAATTTAGGCTTTTCTAGTGTGCAAGAAGAGGCAAGGAAGGATCAGTCCTGTTATGGCCTGAATTGTTTGTGTACTCCAAAATTCCTATATTGAAATCCTACCTGCCAATGTGATGGTATTTGGCTGTGGGACCTTTGGCAGGTGATTAGTTCACGGGGATGGAGCCCTCATGAAGGGTTAGTACCCTTATAAAAAAGACCCCACAGAACGCCTTCACCCCTTCCACCATGTGAGGACACAATGAGAAAGGCAGCCATTTATGAACCAGGAAGTAGGCTTTCACCAGACACTGAATCTGTGGTGCCTTGGCTTTGGCCTTTCAGCGGCCAGAAGCATGAGAAATAAAGGCTTTGTCTGTGGTAGTTTGTTACAGCAGCTCAAGTGGACTAAGACCAAAGCCTGTTAGAATTTGTTTCTGCTCTTGCTTAGGAAGTCATCTTTTTCTTTTTTTTTGGTGACGGGCAAAGAGGAAAGCAAATGGCCTGTTTGATACTGTCATTCCCCACCCGGTTCCTCGTCCACTACATGAAGTCCCTGACAACTGTGAACAGGTTTCCTCTGGAAGCCTTCTATTAACATTAGGATCTGCTGTACTAGGTTTTGATTTTAATGATATAAAGAGATAAACCACCTAAGAATTCTAACTCTGTTGCTGCCTGCCTGACTGCCAATAAAGTTCTCTTGATGAATTAGGGGTCATTAGACATTACAAGAATCATTTCTATGCCTTTCCTACTACACATTGAATAAGTATGACATGATGGCCATGCAAAAGTAGAAATGTCCTTACTTGCATTTGGGAAAACACTTTGCTGTAAATTATTGGAAATACTACAGGTATTAGGTTGGGTTAGAGAAACCTTTCAATTTAGCACCTAATCTAGGAAAAGTGTCATGATTATGACACTGGAGACTGTTTTCACCTGACACCTCATTTGATTAAATTATTGGTCACTTGTGATTGAACTCAAACTTCTCCAGCCTTCCTCCCCTCCACAAAAGTTGGGGGGTGGGCGTGGAGGTGGGGGCTAAAAGCTCCAACCTTCTAATCATGTGGTTGGTTACCGTGGCAACCGGCCCCCATCCATGGGTTTACCTAGTGGCTTTCCTCATTAAAAGTCACCTCATTAATGTAACAAAAGACACATTTATCACTCTCATCATTTAGGAAATTCCAAAGGGTTTTAGGAGCTCTGCCCAGAACGGAGACAAAAACCAAATATGTATTTCTTACAGGTGACAATGTCACAAGTACCAAACCCAAAGTATTTCACTTAAAAGGTTTATTTTCACAGGTCAGTTTTATTACATTCTACATATTGAATATATTTCTATCTGTTCTGCATAGTAGCATATTTATTAACTTTTATAGTTGACTTTTTCCTTTGATATTTGCTGCTACCTGGCCTGAAGAATAGGAGGATAAACAAAACTGGCTTGGTGGAAACATGGTGCAGCATTTAACTTCTCCGCAGATCTTTACTGTGATGTGGACTTCAGCTTTTCTACCTCTTCTTTGTCATATCCTGAACAGACGAGGGATCTTCCCTTGGGATAGCGAGCACAACACTTACGAAGTTCTTGGATGACAGCCTGACACTTAGAGTCCCTGAAGTTGTTGGCTGAAAAACAGACAGGCAGACCCTGGTCATGATCTCATAGGAATAAGGCACAGGGAGTTTTAGATCATTGCTTCCCACTCCTTTCCACATTATTGTATGTACAGATCTGGAAAAAAAGAGATCTATCAAAGTCCACTGAATTCTTTCTGATTTAGAGACCAGTCAACAGGTTAATTAGGAAGAAAAGTATGATTTACAAAGTGGTCAAAAGGTATTTTTCTACATAACTGTGTTTTCTTTAAGGCTGAGTTAATAGCTTATGTACCTTTTTGTAGGGCAGTGTTTTTTAGCCTCCCCACTTTTGGTTAATTCCTTTATAATTTGGCAAATCAGAAAAATGCCCATACCATGCATGTTATTTTGCACATAGTTTTAATGTGGCTGGCAAACCCTTCCCTATCAAGTCTGTGCATCAGAGGTTTGAAAACTGCAGCCTCAGGGTCAACCCTTTTTTAGGATTAACCCTTTTTTACAGCTGTGAGCTAACAATGGTTTTTTTACATTTAAAGGGCAATAATCTCTCTCTTTCTGTCTCTGTCTCTCTCCAACAAAGACCTCGGCCTCCAAAGTCTAAAATATTTTCTGTTTGGCCCTTTACAGAAAACATTTGTAGACCCCCCCCACTATATACATAGATTCTAAGTCAACGAAGAATTGACCTGAGTCCTTTGATACTAAAATGGGGTGCATGAGAGTTAGTGTGTGTTAGGAAAGACCATTCTGACTACAAAGCAAGTACAGCAGGGTGGCTGAATCCAGGCTTGGAGCCAGACCAACAGGATTCAAATCCTCACTGTAAATGATTCAAAATGATTGAATCATTCATGATTCAAATCCCTTACTAGTTGTGTGACCCTGAGCAAGTTATATAACTTCTGTGTTGATTGAATCATCTGTAAAATGGGGAGTCACAGTTAATATCTATCTCATGGATGAAATGATTAAATGACTTAATATGTTTAAAGCCCCTTTGGCTGTGCTTGTCATCCAGAGAATGCTTAATGCTAACTCTTAGTCCTTCCAGCCCTCGATCCTTCCACACTGTACCTAGGGGTATAACTACTCTAACTTGATTATTGTTCTCCTTTAACTATGGGTTGCTAATTCAAACCAGTTAGGAATTTATTTGGGAGAAGAAATTAATTGTGAAAAAGACTTTTGGCTTTTCTTAAATTTGAAGAAAGGGATGAATAAAATGGCATTATTATACATTAACACTTTAGACTAAAAGGTTTTAAATAAAATATTGCTTACTTCATAAAATGAAAAGTTCAGGCATGGAAGTTAAAAGTCAAAGGAAATATACAAGCAAGGAGATATACATACAAAGGATACAAATATCCTTTGGTGCGGAGTCTTTGGGGGAGCTCAACATTTTTCCTTCTTACCTTTCTATATTTTCATGGGTATCCATCTCTATTACTCTAATAATGGGAAAATTATTTTGAAAGTCGGTTTTCAAATTCAGATAGTCTGGAAGCTTTTTCTCTCTGTTCTGCCAATAATCACTCACTGATTGAAAAAAATGAAGTCCTCTGGCATTTAGTCAAACATACTGGCTGATTTAAAACCAAACGGACAAATCATATCAAATATACTTCAGCTGAAATTCATTTTTGCCTTTAAGACAGTTGCTAGACTTTTGGTCAAGATGAAGGTGTAGGAAAACACACCTAGCCTCTTTGCATAACTACAGAAGAAAAACCTACAACTAGACTACAGAACAAATATTACCCAGAAATGTCAGAAAATCGAGCTGTATGGAATTCCAACCACCAAGGATTTAAAGAAGCCACATTCATCCAGATTAGTAGGAGGGGTGGTGATGTGGAGACATGCTGAGGTACAGAGACACAGAGAGGCATGGAGATGTGGAACGGATGGTCCCACATATACGTATGGTGAATAAAAATTGGAAGGGAGACCTCAGGCATGAGGAATCCCAACTGCGGACCAGACCACCCAGCCCAAGGTTCCAGTGTCAGGAAGTTAAGTCCCCATAACTTCTGGCTGTAAAATCCAGTCGGGGCTGGGGTGGCAGAAGAAACTGTGGGACTCACAGGAGACACCCTGCTGTACTTGCTTTGTGGGACTTCAAGGGCCTGCAACTGTCTTAGGACTTATGCAGACGCATTCCCTCTGGGCTTCAGCACTGGGGCAACAGCTGGAAGGGCACCAGTGGCATATGGGGAAAAAGCGAAGTGACTGGCATCAGGGCAAGTGCTGGGAGTAAGCTTGCTCCTGGGCAAAATTCCAGAAGCTGGGCAGCAACATTGTCCCCTCTCTGAGCCCTCCCCCGCACAGAGTCACAGTGTAATGGTTACCCTGCCCTGGTGATTACATAAGGCTCCATCCCATTCAATTTTCAGGTGCACTTTTCTGTAATAGGCCGAGAGTCAAAGCAGTTCTACCTAATACACAGAAACAAACACACAGAGGTCTCCAAAATGAGGAGACAAAGAAATATGGCCCAAATGAAAGAACAGAACTCCACAAAAAGAACTAAACAAAATGGAGATAAGCAATCCGTCAGATGCAGAGTTCAAAACACTGCTTATCAGGATGCTCCAAGAACTCCAGGCAGAAATAAAGGTTACATTAAGTGAAATAAAGAAAAATCTACAGGGAACCAACAGTGGAGGGGATGAAGCCGAGAATCAAATCAACGATTTGGACCATAAGATAAAAAAGCATTCAATTACAATGGCAAGAACAAAAAAGAATTAAAAAAATAAGGACAGGATAAGGACAGGTTCTGGGTTACCTTTATGTATATCAACACCCAAATCACAGGGATGCCAGAAGAAGAGGAAGAACAAGAAATTGAAAACTTATTTGAGAAAGTAAGGAAAGAAAACTTCCCTAATTTGGTGAAGGAAGTTAAGACATACAAGTCCAGGAAGCACAGCAAGTCCCCTTCCCCCCAAAAATGGACCACATCAAGACACATCATAATTAAATGCCAAAGGACAAAGAGTCTTAAAAGCAGCAAGAGAAAAACTGATAGTTACCTACAAAGGAGTTTCCATAAGACTGTCAGCTGATTTCTCAAAAGAAACTTTGCAGACTAGAAGGGGGACTGACCAGAAGTATTCAAAGTCATGAAAGGCAAGGGCCTGTATCCAAGATGACTCTATCCAGCAAAGCTGTCATTTAGAATGGAAGGGCAGATAAAGTGCTTCACAGAAAAAATAAAACTAAAGGAATTCATCATCCCCAAGCCATTATTATATGAAATGTTAAAAGAAATTATATAAGAAAACAAATATTGGAACTATGGACATTAAAATGGCAATAAATTCCCAACTATCAACAACAGAATCTAAAAAACGAAGTAAGTGAACAAGCAGGACAAACACAGAATCATAGATATGGAGATTTATCAGTTGGGACTGGGAAGGAGAGACTGGGGAAAAGGTACAGGGATTAATAAGTATAAATAGGTTGTTACATAATAGATCGGGGGATGTTAAGAACATTATAGGAAATGGAGTATCCAAAGAGCTTATATGCATGACCCATGGGCATGAACTAAGGGGGAGACTGCTGGAGGGAATGGGTGTACTTGGTGGAAGGTAGCAAAGGGGGAAAAATTGGGACAACTGTTATAGCATAATCAATAAAATACATTTCCTCAAAAGACTTAGTTGCTGACTTTGACAGCTTGAATTGCAATTATGTTTTTAACACCCTTTTAACCTGACTGCTTTTAAAAAGTGAGCTGTCAGCCACAGGTAAGTATAAACAACCCATTTTAAAACAAGTCTCTTCTTATTTATTTATTTAACAATTCTTTAAAATATTTTATTTATTTATCTTTAGAGGGGAAGGGAAGGAGAGAGGGAGAGAAATATCAGTGTATGGTTGCCTCTTGTGTGTCCCCTGCTAGGAACTGGCCTGCAACCCAGGCATGTGCCCTGACTGGGAATTGAACCACTATCCTTTGATTCTCAGGCCCATGCTCAATCCACTGAGCTATACCAGCCAGAGCAAAACAAGTCTTTTTTTTAACCTGAAGAAGATACAAATAGCATAAACTGTGTTCATGGATAGGAAAAATTAATATCATCAAAATGTCCATACTACTTAAAGCAATCTATAGATTCACTGATATTCCTATTAAAATACCAATAGCATATTTCACAGAACTAGAACAGACATTCCAAAAATTTATATAGAACCACAAAGACTCTAGTCAGAGCAATCTTGAGAAAAAAGAATAAAGTTGGAAGAATCATGCTACGTGATATCAAAGTAGACTACAAGGTCATAGTAATCAAAAACAGCATGGTACTAGCATAAAAACAGACATATAGCCCTGGTTCGTGTAGCTCAGTGAATTGAGCATGGGCCTGTGAACCAAAGGGTTGCGGTTTGATTCCCAGTCGGGGCATGTGCCTGGGTTGCAGGCCAGGTCCCCAGTGGGGGGCATGTGAGAGGCAACCACACACTGATCTTTCTCTCCCTTTCTCCTTCCTTTCCTTTCTAAGAAAATATATATATAAATAAAATCTTAACAAAAAACCCCAGACATATAGATCAATAGATCAGAGTAGAAAGCTCAGAAATAAACTCACACTTTTATAGTCAATTAATATTTGACAAAGAAGGCAATAACATGCAATGAAGTAAAGATAGTGTATTCAGTAAATGGTGTTGGGAAAATTGGACAGCTACATGCAAAAAAAATGAAACTAGACTACCTTCTTACACTATACATAAGAATAAATTCAAAATGGATTAAAGACTTAAATATTGGACTCGAAATCATAAAAGTCCTTGAAGAAAACAGGAAGTAAAATCTTGGACATTTCTTGTAGCAATATTTTTTCTGATATAGTGCCATGGACAAGAGAAACAAAAGAAAAATAAATAATTGGGACTATATCAAACTAAAAAGTTTTTGTACAACAAAGGAAACCACCAACAAAATGAAAAGACAACTTACTGAATGGGAGAACATAATTGCCAATGGTATATCTGATAAGGGGTTAATATCCAAAATTTACAAAGTTGCCAAAAAAATCCAGTTAACAAATGGTCAAAGGACCTCAACAGACGTTTCTCCAAAGAGGACACAGAGATGGGCCATAGGCACATGAAAAAATGCCCGACGTCACTATTCATCAGAGAAATGCAAATTAAAACCATACTGAGAGATCACCTCACACCTGTTAGAAGGGTTATCACCAATAAAAACAACAAATAACAAGCACTGGTTAGGTTGTGGAGAAAAGGGAACCCTTGTGCACTGTTGGTGGGAATGCAGACTGGTGCAGCCACTGTGGAAAACAGTATGGAGTTACTTCAAAAAAAATTAAAAATGGAACTGCCTTAAGGCTATACTTTCAGGGATCATTTCTAGTTTGTTAAAAATGGAACTGCCTTATGACCCAATGATTCCACTTCTGGGAATATATCTAAAGAAACCTAAAAAACTAATTGGAAATAATATATGCACGTCTGTGTTCGCTGCGCTATTTACAATAGCAAGATTTGGAAGCAGCCCAAGTGTCCATCAGTAGATGAGTGAATTAAAAAGCTGTGGTAAACAATGGAATACTACTTGGCCATAAAAAGAAGGAAATCTTACCCTTTGTAATAGCATGGATGGACCTGGAGAGCATTATGGTAAGTGAAATAAGCCAGCAGAGAAAGACAAATATATAATTTCACTTATCGGTGGAATCTAATGAAGAAAATGAACTATCAAGCAAAACAGAGACAGACCCATAGACAGAGCCGTATGACAGCTGTCAGTGGAGAGTGGAGGGATTAATAAAAAAGAAAAAAAGAGAAAAAAAAACTCATGGACACATTAACAGTGTGGGGATGGCTACATGAACCAGAGCAGGGGTGGGTGGGGCAAGGTATCGGAGGGATAAATGGTGATGAAGGAGACATGTGTTGGGTGGTGTTCACGCAATACAGTGTACAAATGATGCGTTGTGGAATTGTGTACCTGAAACCTGTATAATTTTGTTAACCAGTGTCATTTGAATAAATTCAATAAAAAAGGAAAAAACTAGTTTTTTTTTTTTAAGGACTTTGCTTAGCTTAGTAATTCTCAACTCTGGCTGCATATTAAAATACTTGTTTAGCTTCTTAAGACAGATTACTGCCTAGCCCACAGCAACAGGCAGCTTGATTTCATTGTTCTAGGCAAGTTTTTATAGCTTTCCATGAGATTCTGCTATACACCCAGGACTGCAAGCTCCAAGCTTAGATCATACCACTTTTTATTTTTTGCATCTTTGATCATACATTGAAGATCTTCAGGCTGAATTAATTACAGAAATATATTCTGAGAGGAGTTAATATAGTTTGCTGATAAAAAGAACTGGTCTCTTTAGTTAGTGCACAGATAAAGGGGAAAAATATTTTAAAAGCATTGAACATGGTACCTTGTAAACATTTCTGTATTTCACAGGCTTGTTTCTGGCACGGATCCTTCTGCAGCATATCCAGAAAACTAAAATAAGAAAAATGATTTTTATTTTGTCTTTTATTCATAAAGACTTTAAAGCCCCTCTAGAAGGAATTTTCTTCAGAGACAAGCAGTATGCACTTCCAATTGCTGGAAGACAATCACACTGAAAAATACTCTTCCCATTCATAGGATGAATCAACTGTATTTTTATAATATCCATTTCATTTGATTTGGAAGATAGAAGTAGCTTTACATGGAAATAAAAACCCTTGAATTCAGTGAACTCATTTTGAATATTGCAAACCAATGTTGGGCTAGAGGAGCAACACTGTTGCCTGAAGTGCCTGCCCACTGCCTGACTCTATCATTCACAAAAATACCCTTGGTAAATGATCAAGTTCCTTGAGCCTTTTTTCTTATCATTTGTGTGTAAACTGGGGAGCTTACCTACCTCAAAGCATTGATGGAAAAATTAAATGTGATAAAAGTATACAAAGTGCATAGAATAGTGTCTGGAAGGCAGTAAGGACTTGCTTGCTACATGGTAGCTATTGTTCCCAAGATTTTTAAAAAGTAAAACTAAGATTTTTACATATAAACTGTTATAGCTATTTTAACTAAGGAAATTCTTTATCAGGTAGTAAATGCTTTCCTAGGAAGCAGCAATATTTGGCCCTGAGAAAGGTGCTAGTTAAGCAGCTAAAATGTTTTTTGGAGCTCTTACAGAAAAGACTATTTAAAATATCTATAACCAGAGAATGAACTTAAGTGCCCATAATTTTGATCAGCAACTTCTAATAATTTGAAGACACAATTTCAGAAAGAAAAAAGGCCCAGGAGCCTTTGTAGCTGATTTCATTAATGCAAATGACCTCTCCCCCCACCCCAGATCCCCCTAAGTTCTCAGTAGATCCAAGTTAGGCCAGTACTGGGATGGGAAACACTGGAGCAAAACCTAGAATATTTACAGGATGGGAGAAGGAAAGGCAGATGAATTGCTACAGGGCAAATAAGCGACCAATAGATGTTGATGCTGCTAGGAGCTGCTCTCTTCTCTCTAAATCAGTACCAAGTCCTTGGTGATCAGATCATCTGTTCTGTAGCAGGTGCTGACTTTTGTGGGATTCATCAGATCCCAGTTCCAGCTGATGATGTCCATTAAAGGTTCTATGGCAACTTCCAATGGAGTCAATTTCAAGTTACGTATCCTGACTAAGTGCTTTGTTGACTTGCTTTCTGCCTGGGTAACCCTCTCTCTGCAGTTCCACTTGAGGTGTTCTTCATGACCCTTCCTAAACTTGGGTTCTTGAGCAGTTTTTCAACCCACTCCCTCCCCCAGGCCCACAGGTGGGTGCACTGCAGTGGTGGATGAAGTGATTGCCATATACTGAACAGATCAGAGGAGCATATCTTCCTAGAATTCCAGCACCTGGAAGAAAAATAGATCATTAAAATCACCAAAACCAAATAGACTTAAAAAGATGAAGGAGAAACCGTGGAGAAACAAAAATACATACCAGGTTAATCATCAGGCAAAAGTTTAAGCAACAGCTCCTCTACTCCCCTGACCTGTCAGAAAAAGAAAAGTTTATAGAGTACTCTGTTGTAAGAGTCCCAATACAATGAAAAATGATTAAGCAACATGTGTACCATTAAATGATGCTGGATTTGCCACAAGCGGGAGTTGTTATCCATGTAGCGTCCCTCAGGGTAGAGTTGCCACATGAGAGGTAGCTGGGAGGTAAGAAGGTGACTTGGCCTAGCTGCGTCACCTAAGGGAACCTGAACTTGCTGGACCCGTGCCCTTAGGAAACTCGTCCCCTAATGGAAAAAAATGATCAAAAATAAAACCAAAGACTTTAGGATATTGAAGCTTAAAAACCAAGTTTCTTGAAAGCAAAAATCAATAAAGAAATAAGCAAAATGTAAACAGTTACCTCTTCCACGACGGCCACCCACGTGCGCTGGTATTCGTCGCGGTAGATACCCTCTTGGTGAACCCAGAGGTGATCGGGTGGAGCCCCCACATCCTCTCCTGCCATTCTGGGCTTTGAGTTCCAATTCTAGCCCTGCTTTTCTCCACCTAAGCCTGCAGCACCCGCGCACAGGACACAGGTGTGACTTTTTGGGTTTGAATGAACTCACCAGGGAGCAAGGTGACCTGGTACTAGCAACCACCAACCAGTACCAAACCTCATATATGTCTACTTAACAGTCTAAATAGAACCAAGGACATCTGAAGCTCCCTGCAAAACACTAAAGTGACACTCAAGCAGAGCCTTGGGTTGACTACAAAGCACTCAAGGATTTGGTTAGGTAAGAAGTTCTGTGGAAATGTAGGACTACCAGTGGGAACCCCCCCAAAAAACTGGAATGATCTTCTGGAGGATGGGCCCCTTGTAGTATATATAGGCTTCCCCCACTAGGAGAGTGTTCTAGGAACCCATCTGTATCAGTGTACCAGCTGGCCTTGTTGGGAGACGCTGTGTTCAGCTTCAGTGATTTTTTTTTAAGACTCTTCCGATGCATTTTGCCCATTTCATGATGGATGCTTTACAAGTGCACCTTGCTGAGTGTTCAGCAGTTTTTGACCAAAAATGGCATGACCCCTATGCCCCACCCTTCCTAATCACCCAATCTTGCCCTGAGCAAATTTTTTTGTGTTTCCCAGGATGAAAAGTCTTCAAAGGGAAATGTTTTGCCAATGTGGAATAAGTGAAACAAAAAACAGCAGAAGCACTAAAAAGCATCAAAATTGACGAGTTCAAAAACTGTTTTGAGCAGTTGAAAAAATGTCTTGATAGGTGTATAGCATCAAATGGAGAGCACTTTGAAGGTGACTGAAGTTCAAACATGTAAGAATAAATATACAATTCTTTTACAAATAAATTATGTTTTTGGGGAGCCCCCTCATAGCAGCACAGGAAGCTGGCAGTGATCTCAAGCCTGCATTCACAAAGCAGTGTCTTAAAAAATATAGTCAGCAACAGAATATGCACAGGAGTGTGTCTGAGGGCATGCTTATTTGGCTGGAATGCAGTATAACAGGTACATGGATGCCATATTCCTCACATAAAAGCAGTTTTCATTTTAAAAGGTTAAGACTGAGAAACCTGAATCATGTGCATGGCTTTCTAAATTGAAATTAAAAATTTGTTTTAAGAGCAAACAATGTACCAGTTTACTTAGAAAGGTTACTTATAGCAGATGGGCATTACCAGAAGAGGGTTTTCATAGTAGGGAAAATATTGAAGGTAGCTTCATAGAATTTTTGAGCTGCAAGAGACTTTGGGGATCATGGTGATTTGGAGCTGAGTGAGAGAAAATGACAGTTATCCATCTAAGTCCTTGTTGCATTTTCATAATGCTTCAGGATGTCACAGGAGCCCATTTTTCATACTAGTGTGAGTTTAAATTCTGACTTTCCAAGTCAAAAAGCCAGAAAAGTCCCTCTGCCCTTTGAGAGGTACAGAGGAAACCCCTGTCCTGGGCAAGCTCTTTACATAAGGCAGACTAGGCTCTAAACCCACTACAGCTCTGTCCCACCCTGGATCTCATTTCAGGGCCTTACAATAACCTCACCTGCATTTCGCACTTCATACGGCATGGTTTACACTGTGTTTCTACTTTTTGCAGAGCACAGAGATACACCACTGGGGGATCTTACCCCCACAATAGGCCTCTTATTCCCATTAGGTGGTCATTAGGTGGGAAAAGAAGTACAGCACAGCTTGGGAAGTTGTTAAACCCTAAAGTGAGACTGTCAAGAGCAAATGAGATGCCAGAACACAGTATGATGCAGCCCAGGACAAAGTTAGCCAGAAAGAATGGAGTTAAACCAAGACCTTTTTTCAAAGACAACAATCTGAGTCTGATTTTTTTTCCCTCTGAACACTGTTATTGGAAAGCAGAAAATATCTTTTATAGATTTAAGAAATGGTCTGACTTTAGTGAATAATTTAAGAATATCACAGTTTTGCCCATCATACCCTGACTCTGAGCCCATTGTAAGCTCCCACCTTATAGGACTCTCATTTCAAATTTCCCATATTAAGTGACTCCCCTACTTCAAATCGATCTAAAGTGAAAGCCCTTCTTCTTAAATTCTGATTTCTCTCAATGGCAACAACACCCCTCCTGATCCTGCTGAAATTTACAAGTTCTCTTGGAATTCTTCATCAGCTTCAGTTGCTACACCCTATCTGCTGCCAATTCCAGGAAGCACAACTACCACCATATTTTAGATAAACTTTCTCCCAAATACCAGGCTCATTTTTAGCCCCATATTCTTTTTTTTTAGATTTGATTTTATTTATTTATTTATTTATTTATTTATTTATTTATTTATCTTTAGAGGGGAAGGGAAGGAGAGAGGGAGAGAAACATCAATGTATAGTTGCCTTTTGTGGGTCCCCTGCTGGGAACTGGCCTGTAGGGAACCAGCCTGCAACCCTGGCATGTGCCGTGACTGGGAATCGAGCTGCGATTGTCTGATTTGCAGGCCCGCGCTCAAGCCACTGAGCTACACCAGCCAGGGCTTTAGCCCCATATTCTTGATCTTGCTTTCTACTTGCCTAAAATGCCTCCTCAGGCCTCTATACCTCAGTACTATTAAGCATGGCAGAGTTCAGGTGCCTGCCTTCTCTACAAAAGCTCCTTGCCTCTCTGGCTACTATAGCATTTCTTTTTTTTTTTAATATTTTATTTATTTATCTTTAGAGGGGAAGGGAAGGAGAGAGGGAGAGAAACATCAATGTATGGTTGCCTTTCATGCGTCCCCTGCTGGGAACTGACCCCTGCAGGGAACTGGTCTGCAACCCAGGCATGTGCCCTGACTGGGAATCGAACCGCGATTGTCTGGTTCGCAGGCCTGTGCTCAATCCACTGAGCTACACCAGCCAGGGCCTACTATAGCATTTCTGTCTAAACTAAAGCTCATATTCTGGTATCTAATTATAAACTGCACTGCATTTTCACTTTGCTTATTTCAGAAGTACTGTCTCTCCCCAAACACAGTATTATAAGCTCTTCAATAGCAGGAATGATACAGTACTGGGCACCCCAAATCTCAAATACTAGTCAAATAATATTCCTGCAAGTGGGTGGATAAATATGGTGAGTACAGAGGGGAAACAGATGAAGGCCATATATCCTTGCATAGAGACTGAATCTCTAGGTGTGAGTTTAATATAGCTATATATATTTTTTCCAAAGCTCTTTTTTCCATTTAGTACATACAATTGTTCTGCCTCTCTGCCTCCCCAGATTTTTGGGAAGGAGTGATACAAACAAAACCCCAGTGCTAATGTCAAAATAAAATATATTAAAATCTGGACTTCAAATACAAAAGAAGTAAGTGTGACTACTTTAAAAAAAAAGTAGAAACCAAGTGTTGCAGATTTCAGGGCCATCTCAACTTCACAGATGTGTCCTAGCAACTGTATCATTACAAAATATTCTTAGAAGAAAGGCAGCATGGTATGCTGCTGTGATCTCAATGTGCTGGGCATCAGCGGGATGAACCTGGGAACAAGTGCTAGCACATGACCCTGGAGTTGTGTACGCTCCCACTCAGAGAGAGCATGAAGGCCCAGTAAAAGGCAACTACAGTGATCAAGGGACCGAGAAGCTGTGGTATGCACATAAACTAACATCCTTAGGGGAGAAACGGGAAGGCTGAGTGAGAGGGACTGAGATCAAAGCCCACAAAATTATAGGTTGTATAAATGTGATTCTTGGAATACTTGCCCCTAATTTTTTCCTTGGTCAAATAAGTTTGGGAATCTTGTAGAGTCATAAAGCACATTAACATAGTAAAAGCTCTGGCAAGTTATACAGAAAAGAAACTTTATTTTGCTTAACATTTCCCAAATTTATTTGACTAGAGAACATTTCTCTGCATGTGACACTTGCTCACAAAATTCAGGACCCCTTGAACTAGGATGAATCTCTTAAAACCTCAAAATAAACTGAAGCACAAGGAGCAATATAATACACAGAACATAAACTTGTTCCACTCAACTCATACTACCAGCTGCAAATTCCGATGGATTTTAAAGTGTTTTTATATAACATTATCATCCATCAAGGCACTAAAAGAGATTGTCCCCATGGGGGTCACCTCGATGCCACAGAGACCACATTGGCCTAGAGAGACTATGTCTTAGTAAGGCATTTTGTAAATTATATTTTAAATGGATGATATACAACATAAAAGTCTTCCTTAGGTACTAGTATGAATAAGACCATTACTTTTCCTTTACAGAATGAATTATTTTGTCTTTTTAAAAGGATAATTTAATTTCCAGGCATTTTTTAAAAACAGTTTTAAACATTAATCAGTTGAATACACTTATTTCATTTGCAGTCAATTAATGAACTCACCCAATTATAATGGGTGACATTACCAAGAACAAAACCTGGAGTCAGCCTGGCCTGCGTATAAATGCTGATTTTGCCACTTACTAGCTTTGTGACCTCAGACAAGTTAACCTTCCTACACCTCAGTTTTCTGAGGCATTAAATGGGAATTAAAGAACATATTGATCATAATAGTCATACTTATTTCGCACTTCTTAAAATTTTATATATAGACACTTTTAATCTTCATAATCACCTGATTATTTTCCCACTTAAAGATGAGGGCAGTAAGGCACAAAGAAGTTAGGTAACTTGCTTGAGGTTACACTGCTAAGAAGTTGCAGAGCCTGATTCCAACTGGGGCAGTTTACATATAAAAGGCATTTAAATGCTTAGTAGATTGTCTAATCCATAATAAGTTTGCCATAAATGTTAATAGTTTTTTCTACTCCAATTAAACATTTAGGATTGTAAAATGCAGCCATTAGCATTATAAAATTTAGAGGATATCATTCTAGATTATGAGACCAAAATCAACATCGAAGGTGTTTTTCTTTTCGAAGGTGCTTAAAAATAATTTATAAACTCAAAATATCCCATGACTAAACAGAGTAATAGCCATTCTTGCCCCATCAGGGCAAAGCATACTAGCCACAAACAGTAATTGAAAATAATATATGGTGCAAAATCAAAACTTAAGAGAGTATTTAGATGGGTCCAATGTAATTGTAAACTTAAAATTTCTCCCAAGCTTCATTATCAACATTTAACGTGGAAAGATGTGCCACGTGATCCTTAAGCATTTGGCAAAAATGGAGGTTACTGGAAGCATACCAAATAGTTCTACTGTATGAAGGCCTTATCTGTAGGGATACTTGTGTTGGAACTGATTTGGGAGAAAAGAGCAAAGCATCAACACCGCTTCAGGTAGCATCTTGGGAATGTTCCCTTTCCAGTACTTCCAGGTCTGCCTGGCTTCAAAATTACACAGGGAAAATGAGATCAAACAAAACATATACACTGACAGGCTGTGGAGGCGGCAAGGCATACATTTTTCTTTGATTTAGAATCGTTTCTAAAATCCACGTGCAATTCTTAAACTTCAGAGTTAAAAGATCTGTACTTTCAACCCATGGCACGGTAGGCATACATCAAAAGAAAATCACTTTTACCTATAATTTCACCATGTCTAAACATCAAAAGGAGAGCTGAGAAAGGTGGGTAACTACTGTGATACAACCGACCTTGAATCAAAACTGAAGTCCCCCATTCCCCTTCCCCGTAACACATACTTAAAAGCCTTTGAAGAAAGTAGCAGCAGCCCAGCTTAACAATGATACTTTTTCAGATAGAGTAGAGCACTTTCTGCAAGAGGTTACTCACATGAATATAATGTTTCTTGGGCTAATTAATCCGCCTCGAGATCAGAGAGGCTAAAACTTCCAGGTCCCCACCTCGGGCCAATCAAGCTGGTATCAGGGCCGAGGTCACCAGAACCGAAGTTACGAGGCAAGTGCCGGCAACCGGAAGAGGTCCAGGGAGAGTGGTACAAAATTCAGGGGCCGTAACTTGGAAACAAAACAAAATAAAACCTTAACTATCCTAGGACTAATTTCAAAGAGCGTCCCACTAGCTCAAGGGGCTGGTGCGCGTGACGATGCTGCCTTCGTACTGCACCCAGAGCGTGTAGGCCGCGTAATGAGCTCCTTAGCGGGCGGGCAAAATGGGCGACGGTGCAGGGGAAACGCCTACCCGACCGCCCCGGAGCCGCTCACGTACCACGTCTGCCTACGGCCCGAGAGCACCGCCTCCCAGCCACCCCCACCGCCCCCGCCGCCCGGCCTAAAGCCCCGTCAGTGGCCGGCCACCGCCCTCCGTCCCACGGCCACGCCTTGCCCCAACCGGCGCGGGCGTTTCCCAGGTGCCGCCGGGCCGCCCCGCCCCCGCCCCCAAGCTCCGCCTCCACGCTCCTGCCAGGCGCCCGCCCCGCCCGCGCTCCCCAAGTCCCGCCTCCGCGGAACCCGCTTGCTGGAGCTCCGGGTTGTTCAGGCCTGAGAGGGCTTGGGGCGGACGTGAGCAGCGTCGGACCAAGATGGCGGTGCAGGTGGTGCAGGCGGTGCAGGCGGTTCATCTTGAATCCGATGCTTTCCTAGTTTGTCTCAACCACGCTCTGAGCACAGAAAAGGAGGAAGTGATGGGATTGTGTATAGGGGAGGTGAGTAGGTCAGTTAGCCTGGCCAGAACCCTGATGAGCAGTCCAGCGTGTCCTTGGAGTCGATGTTAGCGCCCAGGGCTGCGGAGGCCACAGGCTTAGATCCTGAGTTAGACCCTTGGACAGATCCTTTGATGGTCCCGTCGTGAGGGGCTGGTATGTGGTTGCTTGACGCTTGTTTAGCCTCACGTCACCCCCAGCGTTCCGCAAAGTCTGAGGATGGAGGAGGGCTTTTTTTCTGAGGTCATCTCCGGCCTCTCCTTTAAATCTGGAGTTACCGCCCCATTGACCAAAACCGCAAGTCCGGCCAGAAAGGCATTATGGTATAATAGGACATCGGTGTATTAAGAAGCTACTGACCACTATTAGGGATCCTTACCTCACCTCCCGTCTTCCCTCTAGGACTCACTGTAATTGTGTCAACCTGAGAGGAGAGGGTTTCAAAGATGCGTAAGTTTCCGCAGCGTTAGGTGTTGCAGAAGGGCGAGAGAGGATGAGGAAATAGAGCTTAGTTGTTTATAATCCGAATTAAAAATTCTCCAGTTTTTCATGCCCATGTTCAGGCCCATATGACTTAATTTTCTTATACTCTGTATCCATGTACATCAGATAAGTGTAATACGATCAATAATGTTTTCTCCTCTTTCCCACTTTAGTTGAATGATGACACAAGGTAAGACAATATTTGTTTACTCATGTCTTTTGTCTATATGCCATTATTAACTCAGGATTATGACAAGCTCAGGGATATTGTGTATGGGTTGGATTTTTTAATGGATTATATTTTAAGTTACCATTATCAGTCCGAAGCTCCTTCAATGGATGCTTTGAGTAAAGTCCCAACGCTGAAGGTTGGTTCCCATCCCACTTCCTGGTAGGAGGATATTCAGTTGAGATATGGATCCCCTTATGTGAAAAATGTGGTTGAGGGAAACAAGATTGAGTGAATCTGTGAAAGCTCTTACAGATAGAATTTTGTTGACTGATATGGTGCTGTTACTTTCCATTTTCGTGCTTGATATGTTTTATGTTCACTTTTCCTAAAATGGCAATGAGGTGCTGGTAATCTTTTGTGGCAGACAATATGCATATTAACAGACATTTCCCCCTATTGATCTATTGCTCCGTCTAAATTGGCTCTTCCATCTCTATGGCTTTCTGCCTCCCAATGGTGAGCCCTATAACAATCTCAGAGATCCCCAACAGCTTGGATGCTTGAGGTGGTGAATACTTTGGGTTATTTTAATTCTAACTTTGAAGACTGGCAGATGTGTACTCTCAAACCCACCTCCTTAATACCAAGGAGTATAGGAGTTTAGCTTTGCCCATGAAAACTTTATGCACTCAGCCACGTATGCATGTGCCCCATACTGCTATTAATGGATGTATGGGCACAGGTTTAGCTTCAGTTTACTGTTTCTCCTCTTCCTTTGTCTCTGCTAAGGTTTTATTGTTCCCTCTTTTCTAATTTATCTCCAAAAGGAGTGACTCTAAATTTACGTATGCTGGAACTGAAATGCGCACAGTTGCTGAAAAGGTATGTGTGCTAGAATTTTGCATGATAGCAACTTGCATGCGGGGAGGGATTTCTGTGGTCTGTTTGATGAATTCAGCCAGGGATCAATCCATTCTGTGTAGGGCCACATTGCAGCTGGGTGGGATGTTGTCCTTCATAAAGTCTAGTCACTAGGAATAGTACCTAATTTTCTGTTCTTTGTAGCAAGTTATTACTACTTCTTGATCAAGATGAATAATCACTGTCAGCTCTCCTCCTTGCCGGCATCTGTCTGTTTTCTGGCTGGTTCATGCGATCGTTACCTTTTTATCCTGAGTCCCAGAGTCTACTGGGCAACCCTTCTCTCCTTACAGGCAAACTGTCCAAGCTCATAGTTCTTAGTCTGCCTTGACATCCTCTTTTCTGGTATGTTCTAGCCTTTATAGTCTAGTGTAATGCTTCTCAACCTAATTGTTGTATAGGAACAGTTGATTGTTTTTCCATTATGGTGCAAACCAATGCTTTTGTAAAAGATGATTAAAAATAAATTAAGTCCTCTCCTCCTGCCAAGCAGATAATGGAAGTGATATAAGCTATACGGCAACAAATCCATCTACTTATTACCCCTGTATACAAACTTCATCCTGTCGACCACTTTGCCTCCTTTCTTCCCACATGAAGGAAAGAAATTCACTTCCTATTCAGAGTTGCAGCTTCTTTAAAGACCTTACTTAGAAAATATCCTATCTTTCTTCTGATTTATTCTGAGTCTTCAGCCTTTTCCTGTTATCTGGCTCTTTTTTTAAAAAAATATTGATTTTAGAGAGAGATGAAGGGAGGGGGAGGGAAAGAGGGTGGGAGGAGAGAGAGAAACAGAGAAACATCATTTGCTGTTCCACTATTTATGTATCCCTGGTTGATTCTTATATGTGCCCTGGCAGGGATTGAACCTGCAACCTTGGGGTATTTGGACAATGGTCTAACCAATTGAGCTACCCAGCTAGGACCTGGCTCTTTTCCCATATGATACAAATGTGGTTAAATTAGGTTCATTTTCAGAAAGGAGAGAAAAATAACCTTAATTTTATATCTTCCTGTAGTCACTACTCTTACATCCTTCTTTTAATAGCCAGACCTCTTATTTTTTAAAACTTTATTCATTTTTATTTAGAGAGAGGGGAAGGGAAGGAGAAACAGAGGGAGAGAAACATTGATGTGAGAGAGAAACATCGATCAGTTGCCTTCATATTTGTCCCAACTAGGGACCAAACCTGCAACCTAGGCATGTGCCCTGACCAGGAATTGAAGTGGTGATGTTTCAGTTTCTGGTATGATGCCCAACCAAGTGAGCCACACCAGCCAGGGCAATAGCCAGACCTCTTAAAAAAACAATCATAACTTATTTATCTTCTCCATTCAGACCCACCCAAATCTGGTTTCTAATTCCACCTCTCCAGCCACATCCTCATTGCTACATCAGTAGGTTATTTCTTGGTGCTTCTCTTAATCTTTTAACTCGGAACTCAGAACTCTCATGAGGTTTTGTTTGTTTGTTCTGTTTTTGCTGTGTCTCCCTGTTCCTCCCCCTTCCTCCCATCCTTTTTGGACTCCTTTTTCCCTTCCTGTGCATTGAATATTCTCCAAGTTTCTGCCTTGGCCTCCTCTATCCAGAATGTCTTCCTAGGCAATATCACCTCCCTTGTGGCTCTCACTGCAACAGACATTGAGGGTTAGAGAGATCTGTCTTCAGATCCTTTTTCTGATACTTTGTGACTTTAGGATATGCCATGCCAATACTAACTAAAAAGGTAAGGTCACTGAACTCATGAAGTTTAATTAATCTATTTGGATGGTACAAATTGACATAGAATTCAAGATAAGGGAATAGACTCTTGAAAAAATAAAATTATCCTGGCTGGTGTAGCTCAGTGGATTGAGCATGGGCCTGCGAACCAGACAATCACGGTTCGATTCCCGGTCAGGGCACATTCCTGGGTTGCAGGCCAGTTCCCCGCAGGCCAGTTCCCAGCAGGGGACACACGAAAGGCAACCATACATCGATGTTTCTCTCCCTCTCTCCTTCCCTTTCCCTCTAAAGATAAATAAATAAAATATTTAAAAATATTTAAAAAAATAAAATTATGTCATTAAGATTGGAACTGCATTTTAGTAGGAGTTGATGCCAAGGGTGAATATTCTCTTTCTGTAGTCAGAGAAGGTTTCTGTGCCTAAGAAAAGTGAGCAAAAGAAGTTCAGGAGAGGATGGCAAGATCGGCTCAGGAATAGATGAAAAACAAAATATAACAAGTGTAAATAGAGGCCACAAAGGACTGACAGATGTCCCTGAAAGCCATGGGTAATTGAAGGGCCTGAGAAAGACTCTTCTGGTCTTAGTTACATAAGAAGTAAGATATTTCACCTTGGCTAGATTGGCCCCTACACCTTTTCAGTCTTGGAATTAAGACCCTAAAGCCCAGGTCCTTTTGCTCCTGTGTCTTGCTCCTGTGTATAAGTCAAGGTAGGCAAAGAATGACCTGCCTTGGCCTCCTTTGGGTTCATTCGTTTATGTATTGCAGCTGCTTTTGTGCTATAGTGGCAGAGCTGAGAAACTGCAACAGAGAATGCATGGCCCACAAAACTAAAAATATTTACCATCTGGCCCTTTCCAGAAAGTTTGTATTCCCTGACATGGCTTTCCATGGGTAATGGTCAGGTAACACTAATTTCCTACTGTAGGGGGATGTACATTTATTCATACAACATGTACTTATTGAGTACATACTATATGGGGGGCACTACATGATGGCCTAAGTGTACAGTGATAAACAGGATCTTCCTAGATATACATCTAGGAAGAGAAGTAGTATATAAACACTATAATAGATATGCTAAAGGAGCTAGTGTTGCACAGAAGGGGCTATCTAATCTGGGCCGAACTGGCAGGGATAAATTGTTAACCAAGCAGAGAAGAGGGAAGCAGTCCATACATGACACCCAGCAGATACAAGGAGTGAAACAGCACAATATAATCTGGAAACTGACATAATTTACCATGGTTAGAACTTGGATCTATGTAAAGAAATGTAAAGAGGTAACAGAAATGAGATCATGACAGGCCCTGAATGCTTCACTAATGAGACTTTATCCTAAGGTAATGGGACACTCATTAGATTTTAAGCAAAGGTATGTCAGACTCATATAAGAAAGGACTAGAGGCCAGAGAGATTTGAGGCAAGAAGACCAGTGGAGAGGCTAGCACAGTAGTCAAGGAAAGAGGTGATGAGTATCTCAAATAAGGTAGGGGTAGTTGGGATGAAGTGTTGGAAAGAAATATTAAAGCATTTTAGGTTAATGGTTCTCAATGGCAGGCAGTGGTTCCCAAACTTGGCTGCACATTAGGTTCACCTGGGTAAGTTTTAAAAATTCTGCCACCCAGGTCTCATTCCAGACCAACTAAATCAGCATCACAATTTTGTAAAGATAACTGGGTGATTCCAAGTTGGAACCAGGCTTTGGAACTACTGTAGCAGGAGGAATGTTGAAGGTTTCGAGGAAGAGGAAAGGTTCAGTTTTGAACATGTTAGTTTAAGATGCCTGTGTCTAACTAAACTTGGCTGTCCAGTAGGCAGTTGAGGATGATGAGCTTCCTCAACTAGAGCTTGGAATCATACTAACTAGCATCTATGGGGTATTAACAACAGCAGTCAGAATGACCAATATGTATTGGCTACCTGCCATGTGTCAGGCACTTGTAAAGGTGCTTTTCTTAAATTAACTTTCCTAGTGACCTAGTGAGGTTGGTCCTATTTTTTTACCCATTTTACAGATGAGTATTTTACATACATTACCCAAATCTAGCTTTCCCAACCACTCTGAGGTTGCTGGCTGTCATTATCCCTGTTTTACAGATAAAGAGTGCAGAGCTCACAGATGTTAAGTAACGTGCCTAAAGTTACACAGTATCAGAAAAAGTATCTGAAGACAGATGTCTCTAACCTCAGTGTCTGTTGCAGCTCTAGTCTGGTAATCTTTTTAATTGGCTTATTTATTTCAATTACATTTATTGTAATTGTTGATATATGTGAGTTAATCACTGCCATCTTTTTGCTTTCTATTTGATCCACTTCTTTTTTTAAAAAATATTTTATTTATTTACTTTTAAAGAGAGGGGAAGGGAAGGAGAAAGAGTGGGAGAGAAACATCAATGTGTGGTTGCCTCTAATGTATCCCCTACTGGGAACCCAGCCTGCAACCCAGGCATGTGCCCTGACTGGGAGTTGAACCAGTGACCCTTTCACAGGCCCATGCTCAATCCACTGAGCTACGCCAGCCAGGGCTGATCTACTTCTTTTTTTAAATTTAATTTTACTGTATTTTTCTATTATCGACCCACTTCCTTGTTTTATGTTTATCTCTCTGTTCTTGCCTTCTTTTGAATTTATCAGCTCTGTTTTATTATTCCACTTTGATCCTCCATTAATTAGTTATAACATTCTTTTACTTCACTTTTAGTGGTTATCCTACATATTATAATATACATCCTTGATTTGTTAGTCTAATACAAATGCCTATATTTACCATTTTCTGATAATACTAGAACCTAAGAACACTTTCATTTATAGCCTCCCACCTTTGGGATTATTGTTGTCACACATTTTAATTCTGTGGATATTTCACACCCCACATGACATTGTTATTACTGTTTTGTACAATCATTATTCATTTATGTTTATACACATATTTTACCATTTATGGTGTTCTTCATCCCTTCCTTCATAGCTGGGACTTTCCTTCTGCCTGAAGAACTCCCTTTAGAATTTCTGTGCTGATAATGAATTCTCTCAATTTGTTTGCATCTGAAATGTCTTTATCTTGTCTTCATTCCTGAAGTTTATATTCTTTGAATATAGAATTATCAGTTCCCAGACCCTTTCTTTTTGTATTTTAACATATTACCTCCTTATCTTTAGGCTTTGTTTTTGTTGAAAAGTCAGGTTTTTTTCTCTTTTTTAAATTAAATTTACCAGGGTAACATTGGTTGA